TGCCATTGGATTTCCTTCTCCTGCCCATCTCCATGGCAGTGGAAGATCTCCAGACTGGCCCCAGGGTCTCTTCCAGGCCCTTTCAGCCCTCCTCCTCTTCATAAAAAGGAGCCATGCTGTGGCCCACTCACAGAGTCACTTAGTGACCAACAATGAAGTCAGATAAGATCATTTTGACCAGGGTTTGGTAGATGATCATGGCCTAACATAACTTCTCTAGACAACATTTCAAGATCTATACCTGATCAATAAAGGAGTGAGAATCAAGGAGATTCCAACTATAACAGAGGAGGAAGATGCTGGGCCCAGAGAACTCATGGTGACCATCAAAATAGCTGGCTCCCATAGCCTGGAACAAGCTCCCACACCCTGGGATGAGATGAAGATGCAGTCACTGTAAATATTTTTAATTTGTGCATATATTTTATTTCTATCTGAGTGACTCTCACATTAACCTTGTTAGCAAAGATAAGTTAACTGTCTTTCTCTACCCTCTGCCTCAACACATTGATTCATGTACACAGGGTCTACCCATTTTACAGATGAGGAAGACAGAAAGATCAAGGAGTCTATAGAACAAAACAGTTAAAAATGAGCATGAATCAGGCATGTTTATTCTAGGATATGAGTCTAAATAGTCAGACTACTAGACAAGACCTATTACCCTTCACCAAACTCTCATTATCTGTATATCACCTTGACCCAGTCATGGCACCCAGCCTCTGGGGATATGAAAGTCCACATGTCCACTCCTCATTAGATAGGATGAAACGAGCTATGTTCTTGTTCTCTTAACACCCTAGCACGGAGGAAGGAACTATCTAATACAAAGTAAAGGCAACTGGGGAAAATCTGCATTCAAGCTAGAATAATATTTCTCCAAAACCTTAACTTCTAGACAATAATAATCACTAGCATCACAAATTTTCTTAGTATTCTTTTTATGCCTAGCAAATTGGAGTTTTAAACATGATGTTAATTTCATATACTCCACATTAATGTTCACATCCTTTCAATTTTTAACTCTTCTAATATTGAAAATTGAATTACTTCTAGTAAACACTATTTCATATAGAATCCAGATTGTCATCTCTAAATATCATTTCTTGTTCAAAGAACCAGAGATCCTTGGAGAAATAGCTGGTTTGGGGATCTAGAGCAGGAATTACATGAACTGAACCTGGAATATTTTGTTATACCGGAAATCTTTAAGACTATTAGAACTGTTTAAAGAGCTAAAGATATTTCTAACAACAGAAGACTGATTAAATACAGTATTTGTATAAAGAAATATTTGCAATGAGTTGAAGAAATTAGATATGTTTAAATCCATGATATCATGATGATACCTTTTATTATTATTAATTATATATATATATTAACTGTACACATTTATGACATAACACAGTGATAATTCCAAATATATGTACAATGTATAATGGTCTAATCAGTGTAGTTAGGATCTCTATCTCCTTAAATATTTTTTAGATGTTTGACTAACACATGATAATTGTATATACTTATGATACACAATGTGTTATTTCAATTCATGTATACAGTGTACACAAATGAAATCAGAATAATAAATATTTCCATCTCCTTATCATTAGTTTGTATTTGGAGCCTCAAAGCTCCTGTCTTCTAGTTACTTATAAAATATATAATAGACTATTGTGAGCTATCATCCCTTCACTATGATATAAATCCCTAGAACTTGTTCTTCCAAAAGTAACTCTTACTGTTCAAAACATTTCTACCAATTCTGAAAATTGGTAGAGAAAAAGCAAGAAAGGATTGAAATTAAGAAATCAAGAATATAGCTGGGTGCAGTGGCACACACCTGTAATCCCAGTAGCTCAGGAAGTAGGAGGATCACAAGTTCAAGGCCAGCCCCAGCAAATTACTGAGACCCTAAGCAATTTAGTGAGACCCCTTTCAAAATAAAAAATAAAAATATGTCTGGGGATGTGGTTCAGTGGTTAAGTATCCCTGAGTTCAGTTCCTGGTACCAAAAAAAGAAAAGAAGAGAAATCAAGAATGTACTCAGCTTTTCCTGTAAAAAAAAAAAAAATGTACTTTTGGAAAGCCAAACCATTGTTGAGGGACAGTTTCTTAACTACCAAAGTGTTCCAGCTATAAATGAGGAAGGAATGACAGACTTGACAAGGAGGTAAAGTGTTTGAATAAAGTACAAAACCTTACCTCTCAAGAATTCTTAGCAGGAAGCTAAACCTAGATCAGATCAGCCTCTACATATAAGTTCCTGTGTGTAGGAAATGTACAAGAAGAACTGACCATGTCAGAGGACAATATGGTGATACAGTAAGCCAAATTAAGATGATGAAACTCCCTAAGATAAATGACCTCATTTCGTTAATAAAGTGGAAGTGGAAAGGAAGAGAAAGGAGGAGGAGCTGGAGCAGAAGAAAGTAGTAGGGGTATGAGAGAGGAGAACAGCAAGAATAAGAATGTGTAGTGAAAGGGAAAGGAGAGGGGAGGGAGGGGGGAATAGACTAAAAGAGACTTAAGAGACGGATCAACCAACTGAGTGTTGTAAGCCCCAAACCAACATTATCTGGAACCCAATTCAAAAGTAGCATTTTGTTTTGAGTTGTGAGGCAATTGGGGAAATTTTAATACTGTCTAGGTATTTGACAGTATTAAGAGATTATTGTTAAAAATGTGAGCACAATAATGGAATTGTGATGATATTCTTTAAAGAGATTTTTATTGTTCAGAGAGGCATTCTAAAACAGATTTTTAGAAAAGAAACAGTATAAAAACTGCAAGGGTTGGATAGAAGGTGGGGGAGTGAATGGATGAATGGATGGATGAACGGACAAATGGTTAGAACAGATGAAAAGACAAATAGATAAGGAATAATGTGCTGCTTGACCGAAGAGAGGATGGTTAAAAGCACTATGGCTAATACCATGCAGTGCTTTACCCCCCACACATTTTGAATCCTAGTGTGCAGAAGGTGGGCTGGACTTCCTGACATGGTTTAGGTTCTGCCTTCCGGATGTACCGCATGAGTCTTCAAATCAGAACCGAAGCACTTGGAGAGAAAGGTAGGACATGGGACAGCCATCTCATTGGCTTGGATCTTGGCAGCATAGTTTTCTGCCAACTGCCTGCTGTCTGCCTCTGGACACTGCATTCAGCTTCTTTACTCCATACTGATGGAGGCAGCTATGCCTGAGCAGCTCAGTTCTGCAATTTAAAATAGGGAGCTGTTCCTGGGAGCTCAGCCTCAGTCCTGACTTCGGCATTCCCAATGATTCTGAG